TCTTTTGAAAGGAAACATGGGGGGGGGGGGGAGAGGGGAGGGAGGAAGACAAAGTGGCAAGCAGCAGCCTTTCAGCATTCTGTGGGAGGGAAAGGATGGAAGTTGCTTTCAGCTGAAGGGGGCTGGAGTTGGGGGCGGGGATAGGGATGACCTTGCTCATGTTTTTCTAGAGGTTATCTGTTCTCTATCATTCCCTCTCCCCACAATAGCTAGGCGTAGCTTGACCCTTCCTGCCCACATCGTGTAGAAAGGCAGCTAACCCCTGCAAGCTGCTGCTGGCCACTAACATAACCCAGAGACCTCCTGTATACTGGCTACAGCTCAGGCAGGAAGGAGTTTAAGCCCTAAGGTGCACTGAGCATCACGGCCCAGGTAACCACTGCAGGGGCTTTAGCAAACCCAATCACAGAGGTGAATCAGCAGAGGAGGGTACCTGGCAGACAAAGCAGCCTCACATCCCCACCACTCCAGAGCTTAGCTAAGGGACAGAAAAGCATTCCCATATCAGCACTGTTGTAAAGCTTTGGCACCTGCAGAGCTTGGCTCCTCCTGGCCAGTGCACTGGGCCAGAGGGTCTTGAGCTTTCCCTGGGTGCCAGCCCAGCCAAAGGCAGTGGGGAAAGGAAGGAGCCCGCCAGCCAGGCTGTTTGGTGAGCTGAATGATCCGACCAGTTTTGCTCAGCCACCAGCCTTGCGTACTCACTCTATCATTAGCCACTGGATCCCCCCCACTCATTGCTGGTGGGTGGGCAGCTGGTGAAGAAGGATCCAGCCAGGAACAAGACCCATCAATACTGATCAGAGAGAAGACAAAAAATATGGGCAAATTGCCCATTTTTTAAAAAAAAATAGGGAAACCATCACGAGGGCTTAAATATGGGACTGTCCGTTTAAAAACTTAAAAAAGTAGGGAAACCAGCACGAGGGCTTAAATATGGGACTGTCCGTTTAAAAACAGAACATAAGAATGGCCACACTGGATCAGACCAAAGGTCCATTTAGCTCAGTAACCTGGCTGCCGACCGCGGCCAATACCAGATGCACCAGAGAGAGGGAACACAAGTAGTCATCACGTGATCCCTCTCGTCATCCATTTCCAGACAAACAGAGGCTAGGGACACCGTTCCTGCCCACCCTAGCTAATAGCCATTGATGGACACAAACAGCTGCTCACAAACAGGGAGGAACTATTGGGGGAAATAGAGGTGAGTGACAACCTGGGAAGCAGTGATCATGAGATGGTAGATTTCAGGATCCTGACCAAAGGAAGAAAGGAGAGTAGCAAAATACACATCCTGGACTGCAGAAAAGCAGACTGACTCCCTCAGAGAACTGATGGGCCTGGGATGCTTACATGAAGGGGAAAGGAGTCCAGTAGAGCTGGCAGTATTTTCAAGAAGCCTTACTGAAGGCACAGAAAGCAACCATCCTGATGCGCAGCGAGAAAAGCAAATGTGTTAGGCAACCAGATTGGCTTACCGAGGACATCCTTGGTGAGTTTAAACACAAAAAGGAAGCTTACAAGAAGTGGAAACTTGGAAACTAGATGACTAGTGAGGAGTATAAATATACTGCTAGAGAATTCAGGGGAGTTATCTGGAAGATGAAAGTGCAATTGGAATTGCACCTAGCAATGGATGTGAAGGATAACAAGAAGGTTTCTACAGGCATGTTAGCAATAAGAGGGCGATCAGAGAGGCTATGGGGCCCTTACTGGATGAGGGAGGTAACCATGATGTGGGAAAAGCTGAAGTACTCAATGCTTTCTTTGCCTCTGTCTTCACAGACAAGGTCAGCTCCCAGACAAATGCACTAGACAACGCAGTATGGGAAGGAGGTGGGCAGCCCGTGGTGGGGAAAGAACAAGTTAGGAACTATTTAGAAAAGCTAAACACACACAAATCCATGGGTCCGGATTTAATGCATCCGAGGATACTGAGGGAGTTGGCAAGTGTCATTGTGGAGCCTTTGGCCATTATCTTTGAAAACTTGTGGAGATCGGCAGAGATCCCGGATGACTGAAAAAGGCAAATGCAGTGCCCATCTTTAAAAAAGGGAAGAAAGACAACCCAGGGAACTACAGACCAGTCAGCCTTACCTCAGTCCCCAGAAAAATCATGGAGGGGGTCCTCAAGGAATCCATTTTGAAGCACTTGAAAGAGGAGAAAGCAATCAGGAATAGTCAGCATGGATTCATGAAGGGCAATTTGTGCCTGACCAACCTGGTTCGCTTCTATGATGAGGTAACTGGCTCTATAGATATGGGAAAGTCAGTGGATGTGATATATCTTGACATTAGAAAAACTTTTGATACGGTCTCCCACAATATTCTTGCCAGCAAGTTAAGGGAATATGAATTGGATAAATGGACTGTAAGATGGATAGAAAGCTGGTTAGACTGTTGGACCCAACAGGCAGTGATCAACAGCTCGAGGTCAGGTTGGTGATCGGTTTCTAGCGGAGTGCCCCAAAGATCTGTTCTTAAACTGGTTTTGTTCAACATCTTTATTAATGACCTGGATGAGGGGATGGATTGCACCCGCAGCAAGTTCACAGATGACACTAAGCTAGGGGGAGAGGTAGATACACTGGAGGGCAGGGATAGGGTCCAGAGTAACGTGGACAGATTAGAGGATTGGGCCAAAAGAAATCTGATGAGGTTCAGCAAGGACAAGTGCAGAGTCCTGCACTTGGGACGGAAGAATCCTAAGCATTGTTACAGGCTGGGGACCCAATGGCTAAGTAGCGGTTCTGCAGACAAGGAACTGGGGATTAGAGTGGATGAGAAACTGGATATGAGTCAAAAGTGTACCCTTGTAGCCAAGAAGGCTAATGGCATATTGGGGTGCATTAGAAGGAGCATTGCCAGCAGATCCAGAGAAGTGATTATTGCCCTTTATTCAGCTCTGGTGAAGCCACATTTAGAATACTGTGTCCAGTTCTGGGCCCCCCACTATAGGAAGGATGGGGACCCACTGGAGAGGGTCCAGTGGAGGGTGACCAAAATGATTAGGGGGCTGGAGCACATGACCTATGAGGAGAGGCTGAGGGATTGGGCTTATTTAGTGTGCAGAAGAGAAGAGTAAGGGAGGATTTCATAGCAGCATTCAACTTCCTGAAGAGAGATTCCAAAGAGAATGGAGAGAGGCTGTTCACAGTAGTGATGGATGGCAGAAAGGGGAGCAGTGGTCTCAAGGTACAGAGGGAGAATTCTAGGTTGGATATTAGGAAAAACTATTTCACTAGGAGGGTGGTGAAGCACTGGAACGGGTTACCTAGGGAGGGGGTGGAATCTCCATCCCTAGAGCTTTTTAAGTCTAAGCTTGACAAAGCCCTGGCTGGGTTGATTTAGTTGGGATTGGTCCTGCTATGGGCAGGGGGGAGGGCTGGACTTGATGACCTCCTGAGGTCTTTTCCAGCTCTATGATTCTATAACCTCCATGAATCTATCTAGCTCTTTTTTGAACCTTGTTGAAGTCCTAGTCTTCACAACATCCTCTGCCAAGGTGTTCCACAGGTTAACTGTGCGCTGAGTGAAGAAAAACTTCATGTTGTTTGTTTTAATCCTGCTGCCTATTCATTTCATTTGGTGACCCCTAATTCTTAAATTAGGGGAATAAGTAACATTTCCACACCAGTCATGATTTTATATACCTCTATCATAGCCACCCTCCCCTCTGCCCAAGTCTCCTCTTTTCTAAAGAGGACATCTTATCATCCTAACAGGGAACAGAAGGGTTTGTAAGTGATTGCTAATTCCCTGTATTACTGTACATTATTGCTCCTCTGCATTCTTATTGGCCAGCACAATTGACAGCAACCTGAGCTGACTGATTTGCTGGAACTCTTAGTATGTGTTACATACAGTACCATACATTAACTAGAAACATTTAATATGTCTAGCAGGGTGGACATGACAACTAAGTAAGAAAGAACTGGACGGACAGGCACTAGATTCATTTAAAACCCACCCAATAAATTCATCTTAAGGTCAATATGCTGAAAACAAAAGACACCAGAGACAGCTGTCCATGTTTTAATGGCTGGACTCCCATCAACCAAAAGGAATAAAAATGGCACTGAAATTATAAATTTTTATTAACATTTCAATTTAAATCAGTTTAAATGTGAAACCATCAAAAAAGAGCTAGAAACACGAGAGGCTTTTCACAAACACTACTGAACGCTATGATAGAAGTTAAAAAGGTGATGTCAAGATAGATGTAATTTAAAAAATACATCTGTGTTGCTATCAATAGCTCAGATTATTAAAATGACTAGGGGGCCACACTCTTGTTCACTGTGCTCGCCAACCCCCCTCTGTGGGTAGGTGTTTGGGGGGGGGGAGAGGCTGGGTGTCTGGCCAGGGAGGAGGGGGCAGGCTGGGG